AGAGGACTAGCAGTATTATGAGAACTCTCCTCTCCAGAGAATACCGCCTGCAAAACAAATTCAATCAGCAACAGTGAAAAATATAAGCAATCAGGCAAATATTAGAGAAAAAACACTTCAGTATCTAAAACGGTTCAGTACTCCTGAATAAAAAAAAAAAAAAATAAATAAATCCACTCTCTTCTCTTATTCTGGATATATAATTGAAAATCCATAACCTGCATTTGTAGTTACATTTAAAAGTTATTTTATCCATTATTTCTCTGTCCTCTCAGATTGCTACTGAGATGTCTTTATGTAAAATAATAATTCCTTAAAATTTCCCACGTGTTCTCCAGCAACACAAACGTTGAGCAACCATCTACCTAGTTTGACTTCGACTTCATAAGACAATAGAACTGTAAAACCTGAAACTGGTCAAGTAGAGAAGGATCTGGAGAGGAACCTATGGTGACAATAGACCCATGTCCTGCTCTGCTGCCCAGGGTTGCTGCACTTGGCTGGAGGTATCTGCAGAAGCAGCAGGGTTCCAAATGCGTGCTGGGACCCATTCAGTGCTTCTGAACACACGCTGGCACGCTTTATAAACACAGCATCAATCCTGTGTTCTGATGAGCACTGCACAAATTACTTTACACCCCCAGTTTATTCATCAAGACGCTGCGTGTGGTATCGGTAAACAGCTCGGTGTCAAGCAGGATGTAACGGATGTGAACGCTGATGAGAGTCTTTCAAACTGGAAGTTGCATTTAATTTCAATTCACCTCTCTCGTTTCAGAGAGAGACAACAAGACTTGGCACACAGGCCAGTTGGTGTGTGGCATAAGGCAGTTACTGTGGAGCTTTTCCACTAACCTTAACCACTGGAGTACAAGAAATTAGCGCTGCCCCATGGGGCAAAGGAGTAAGGATGGAAGTGGCTTGGGAAGCCTTCAATAAACAGCAACCAGACAATACTGTTTAAATTCCTCAGCTCAGGTTTACTCAGGTCTTAAGCTATCAGGTCTTAAGGTACTTGCGTGGCTTAATTTAATTTATGCCATTTAAACAGACTGCTTCATTATATCAGCACTTGGCAGTGCTGCTGCTCTAGTTAAGGGTCTGTTTGCAATGTCACATCTATAAATTAATTTTTGGAAGGTTTATTGCAGGATTCTATTATAATTTCTACAGGTTTTCAGTTTAGAATGTGTCTTGGTTTTTCTTAAGATATGCACTTCAGATGACCACTTCCTTCATGCACCTATTTGAGGACAGGGAGTTTTTTTCATACGAAACATAACCTCAGCTGATCTGTCAATTAGAAGAGTGAATAAATCATGTTTAGCCAGTGTCACTAATGGAAACTAATATGCATAGGCATGGAGAGGATATGATATAGTCAACCCTTCATCTGCAACCCCTACTTACAAAATACATTAATTCACCAAGACACAGTGAAACCATCAGAACATTAAGACCTGCAGAAATTGACACGTCGGTGACACAGAGAGAGATCGAGGGCACCCTCATCAAGTTTGTGGACAACGCAGAGCTGTGTGGTGTGGTCAACACGCTGGAGGGAAGGGGTCCATCCAGAGGAATCTCAACAGGCTTCAGAAGTGGGGCCATGCCAACCTCAAGAAGTTCAACAAGGCCAAGTGCAAGGTCCTGCACCTGGGTCAGTGCAGCCCTGAGGAGAAAAGACTTGGGGGTGCTGCTTGATGAAAAGCTCAACATGAGCCAACAGTGTGTGAATGCAGCCCAGGAAGCCCCAGCCATGCCCTGGGCTGCATCCCCAGCAGCACTGGCAGTGGGTCAAGGGAGGGGATTCCACCTCCCTCCTCTTGCGAGACCCCGCCTGGAGAACAGTGTCCAGATAGGTTCTTTGTCCCATTTTGACTGAACCTAGATTTTTACTAGCTTAACCTAACTCCTGTTATTCATTATCTGATGAAAATAACGCCATGACATCAACCAACCAATTGTTAAGTTCACTAGGAAATACTTCTGAGCCCTTGAATGGTCATTTCCTATGGATATAAATTTCCCATCTATTTCTACTGAGACTTAGAAATATTCAACAGCTTGTGATCAGCTGCCTAATGCAACTTGTGTTGAGGAATGATGAACTTCTTTTTCATCGTCTTTGGACACAGACTAAGTTATGTTAGCACTCCCAACTGAGATATCTGCTGCAGAGTGGATGGATTTTTTTTATTATTATTCATGATGCAATTAAACCTACAATTACTTGGGCCACACCTATGTTGAAATTTGTAGTGCAGGCAAACACAAGCATATGAATAAACTGCCCTGTCCGTATATTGAGATGACTTCAGGGAAACATGCTGATATATTGCACAGGAGGCACAATAAAACTTGGTGCCCTACGGTCAGACTGGTGGTGATGAATTTCAGAGCACTCGTGAAAAGTTGAGATATTGAACTTGTACTGACAAAATCAGCAACAGAAAGTGCTTCCGGTGGGGAACAAATACCAGGATTACATTACAAACCTCATGAAATAATTTATATTAAATGAACAAATGACTCTTCCATGCAGTTCTTGAAATTAAGTATCTGCAGTTTGAGAGTATACAAACAGCACATGCTATACTAACCAATTGGTAGTTACATGATTCAAAGAGCCCAAATTCAGGGGTTAACACTTCAAAGTTGTCTTAATTTTCAGTCTCAAATATGATCCAATACATAGTTCCATCAAATAACTGTGTATTAACGCCTTTGACACCTTGTGGGTAGAGTTGTGCAACTGCCCAGGAAAGGTTAATCAGAACACTATTAACTCCAACCTGAAAAACCTCTGGAGGTTAATGAAGTCCAAAGTCTTTCTGTCATTCTGATAGCGCAACAATATCATCTACTAGGAAATAGGAGAGAGGCCCAAAAAAACATCAGCATGGAAAACTGCCACATAAATTTAAGTGTCTGAGCTAGGGACACAGAATTTTCTTATTTAAAACCAACTCTCTTAATTCATTTCAAGCATGAAGGATTCAGCTCCTCCTTCACCAGCCACGCCATGTGTCTCCTTTTACCACGCTGGGTTTTGCACGCACAGCAGGATTCTCCAGTGTTGCTGCACCTACCTACAAAGCCTTGAGGGCAAATATCTCAGTCCCTGGAATATCCATGGACTTGCAGATAGAGAAACACCAGAAGTACATTGTAGATGAACAGTGAGATTTGGGTACCACTTTTGGCTGGCCATCACCTAAACTAGCAGTGCTTCAACCCAGGCAGAAATGTTTCACAAGAAGCTCTCCAGTTGCCCAAAACCCTACTCTGAGTTTCAGAACGAACACCTGTGCAACACACAAGTTGATGGGTCTTGCAGACAGACTGGCTTAGTTTCAGTCTTCCACTCCTCAGGTGATTAACTGCCTCTCTTTGCATTTCTGTGAAGTTAATGTACAGTCACACGTGTTGTAAGGTGGGCATCAATAATGCCCTAAAATTGTAGAAGTCTGTAATGCACCAAGGCATATTTGAACCAAAGGGCTTTACTAAGACTTTCATGAAGGTGTGGTTAGAACAAAATCAGCAAAAAACATCTAAAAATATCCCCATCTTTTTTGTTAGGGATCACAGAACTAAAAGCAGTCTTCTGAGAAAATTTCTCAAATTAGTCGCTTATAAAGGACTTAAGAACTGTGGACACAAACTCACAGGATTTGATTCCCATTGTGTTTGGGCACATGCTACACAGATTTTACACAGCACAATCAGACAACTTATTATAAATACAAGCACACACCTGATGCCTCCACACCTTTCTCATCCTGATATTGAGCAACCTAAAATATCTCATTAATTTGATGGAACAATGAAGTGCTTTGCTTTGAACAGAAGCAATGCTGAACTAGAGCACCTCAGAAGTCATACCACTCGTCAGTGATGCTTACTGATGACCACCATGAGCTTAATCCACACCTTCTATGCAGCTCCTAAGAAAGCCGGATGCACCAGCCATGTCCACTTGCCTTCCAACCCATTCCTACTAATGCCCCACTAACTGTGTGAGTTTTTTTAATGGATTGGAAGGAGATATTCTACGTGAGTTTGGGCTTTAAAATAGCTTCTTAGGACAATAAATGGAGACAGTGATGTAGAAAGCATCTTTCAGTTGACAGTGGCCTCTCATGTTTCTCAAAATATATGAATTTGCTACATCAAAAGTAAAACTTATAAAAAAGATTTTTTTTTCAGAGTATCATGTTAAGAATTTTACTAAGGAATATTAGCATACACAATAAATAGTACTACAAAACCTATGCCTACAACTTAGCCCTTCCTTTTGCATCTAAAGGTAACAAAAGCAGAACAGAAACAAGAACAACTTTTCTTTTGTTGACAACTGGAGAAACAAGAGTAATTAGAGGAAATAGAGATGTTATCAAAAAACACATAATGGCAACAACCCCAGTGAGAACAGAAGAAACATCAACCCTAGAGATGACAGACAGCTAGATACACAGATACCTGGAGGTAGTGTTACTACTTGGTTGCTGGCCTTTTGAAGATGTTCAGGTTTTAGTATGAGTAATGGTAGGATCTAAATCCAGGCAGAGCAAAGACTGGATTGAACTTCCAGCCTTCTGCCCTCCTATTCCTTTTCTTCCTGGTTTGTTCAAACTACAGCTTCCTTCTGCTTTGAGCTTCACTTACCCATTTCCCCACATTGTGTGGTAAATCCCTCCTTCCCAAAAAAGGTATTTTTTTCTCCCTTTTGCACTAAGCATTCATCATCCCTAACAGAACAGAATCTTAAGGAGAGCTGAGTAAAACAGAGGTTAGTTTTTCAGTTCAAGCACATTTGCAAACCTATTTGAACTCAGAATGAAAACAAAAAGGGAACCTTAAAAATGGTACTTAGATTTATTTATTATGAAAGCAGTTTTGTCTCAAGAAAAAACAATGATAAAAGAAAGAAGTCTGAAAACAATAAAAATGCAAACAGCAGTAGGGCACTATGAAAGAATAAACCAAAACCCTACCTCCTCCACATCGTTGTCCAACACCACGATTTGCAGTGGAGAAGTCAGGTTCTGGTTATCAGAGATGGTTGTTCCCACCGGAGAGGACTCAAGGATGAAGCCCTCGTACGTGGCCCTTGTGAAGTAAGGCTTCTGATTGTTCTCATCGAGGACTTCGATGTGCAGGTTGGCAAAGGCAGGGAGAGGATGCCCGTTGTCTTGTTCAGCCTGGAAAACCACCACATTTGTCAAAGGCTTTCAGCTAAGTGAAACTACAGTCACTACCTGGCATTGGCTTATCATTTAGGAATTAAAATCCAGTTATAGAAATGAATATCAGCATACGGATCATCCTGTCATGAAAAAAAAAAAAAAAAAAACACCAAACAAAAATTAGCTAGGATAGACAAATAAAAAGACTTTCCAGCACAATAACCTTTTAAATAGTCACACCAAAACTCAAAGCTACACAGCACATGTGCAAATATAGTTTCTTAAACTATCAGTATGGAGAATTTTTGAAAAATCTTTGAAGGATGGAAGAAAACTGGGAACTGATTGTACCACAGAACCTACACCCACACCACCAGCAGGGGAGCTACAGCCAAAAGATGACAACAGTACACGTGGACATATGGTACTTGCTACGGATTACTGGAAGAGTGTTGCCCTAGATACGACTCTTTCTCCCTCTCCCAAAAACATGTCTTTCTAGTGTTAGATGAGTGGGATTTTAGTTTTGGTTTTGCCTATTTTTGGAAAAATTCTTTACTTCTATTAATAACCTCTACTTTCCACTGGCAACGCCTCACTCACCAAGATTTACTTACCAAGAGTTTCACCTGATTTAGTCTTATTTTCAAGCTTCCTAAACATAAAAGCACTAATTGCCTATTCCAGGATGTTAATCTAATAGAAATGTATGATGTTGCTTGCCTTCTTTTTTTTTTTTTTTAAATTTACTACCTATGACTAATTAAAGTAAATAAACAAGGGAAGTAGAAGACAACAAGTAATTTGTTCTTTAATTTATAAAGGGCAAACCAGCTTTAATTATAGTCTTGCACATGTTCCTGTAGAAAGGTAGTGGTAGGGTACTGTAAGACAGTCCCTGTTCCTGTGGCTTCACTGCCAAAAAAATCTGTAAGCACACAGGCCCTGGGACTACACTATTCCCTTTCTGCAGATGTGCAGAATGTGTTGTGCAATAACTTCTCAGGTGTAAAACTACTCCAGAAAAGAGAGAACAGTACCTAAATTATTATTGTTAACAGCACTTTCTGTTTGCAGAGGATTATTTTTATTCCAGTATCTGCCCTTTTCCAAAATAGATCATTTCTCATTATTCAAATCCAAGGTCCAAGGAGCTGCCTCCTGGAAACATGTCATTTTCATTTCATCAACTGGTTATTTGTAATTTCTTAATCAGATGTTTTTTGTGTGTCTGTGAAATGTGAACACTGTATAAAGCTTTGCCTTGTTTACCAAGCAACAATAGCCTGCTGATGATGATAAAAACTTCCATTTCAAGTAAAAAAAAAAAAAAGCATAAACATCAAAATTGCTATTTGTTCAAAGTAGGTAATTTAGTCATTCATAAGACAATCGTTCAAAACACCCGTTTTCTAGGGAAAATGTCTTTTGCTCTTTAATAAACATCAGGATTACTCTTAACCAAGAGATGGGCAACAGTGATACTGGCACAGACTTAAAAGCAACCCCCAGTCTTGCTTGTACGTGGCTGTTTTCTGACTCAGGAGGATATGGTCAGACCTGACAGATGGACTTACATAGGCAGATTCTAGTATCTGAAGTTAATAAGGGTTTTCCTAGGAGATTAATCCTTGTTAATGAGACAAAACCACTATGAAACTGGGAGTTCTGCTAGTTAATTCACTGGCATGTTAAGATTTCAGTTAACCAGGGTGAAGGAAGCAAAACATTTAGCTACTGATGTTCTTAGATACTTTTAGGATCCAGGATGCTACCAGTGATTAAATCCATAATTGCCTCAAATAGTTATTCCCAGATGAACCATTAGTAACTTTTTTTCACCCAGCTTCCATTATTTACATTCAAATAAAACAGGTAACAGGAAAATAGTACACCAAGGACAGGGAGATAGTACAGCAGGCTCCAGTCACCCCAAGAGTCTGATGTTTTTGGGTGACCTCAAGTGATTTTTCAAGAGCTGTACCTTAGTTGAGAACATCTGCCAGCACATTGGTCACTGTCAGAGAATCACATATATCAGGTTAAATTAGCATTTTGTTAGAACCCTCCCAATTGCACTGTATTTCTTTCAAAAGAACAGCACTCAAACATCCCTGGGGGAATCCTGGCCTTGCAAAAGTTATAGAACAAGGTGTTTCAAATCCAATGTGGCAACAGCATAGGAGACTGGGCAAGTGACTCCCAAATGCTGAACATAATTTACAGAAATGAGATTTATTTTGAAGTTGACGCTCCACTGAATAAAAATAAACTTCATGTGGAAAAGCTAACATCAACAAAATTACTTGGAGGTACTCTGGCTACTGACCCAGTAGGATGCAGCTTCAAAAACATCCTGATATAGAGAATTTTGCACTAAATTCATACACTGAAAACACACACAAAAAAAAAAATCTCTAAATTGATCATGGTTTACTACGAAAGAAGGATATGCATTCCTAAGATCAGGCTTAAAATTGTAAGCCCTAGAGATCAAAACTGCAATGGGGATTCCCTCCACGGTGGGGGGTTCAACTCAAAAGCTCTTCAACCTTGCAGGTGCTTTCCCTTCTGTTCCCTAGGTTGGGTACGCTGGTCAATATAATTAACTTTGGCCATCCCACTGGAGAATGTCACTTCCCAGCTGCTTCCCAACACTTCCCAACAGTCACTTCCCAACTGATTCAGCATTTCTCGCACCAGGACACAACTCAAACTGCTGATGTATTTAATTGTTGGCAAAACCCAGTGCTCACCTCCTTAAACTCCCCTTCAAGAGCCAGGCAGAATTAGATGTCCTTTGCATCTGACCTTATTTCCTACTCAAAAAGAATCTCCTTTTACAACAGCAGAAGACAGACAAGCAAAACACTGCTGGTGAGAGAAAAGTGCTTTAAAAAACAGGGAGTGCTGAAACTCTAACCAACTCTCAGTGCATCTTCCTTTAATGCTTTTTTAGTAGTTTTGTAGAATTTTCTGCTTTTCTAATCCAGCCTACCTACTTGTGGGGGTGTCATTAAACTCATTTTTAATCAGTTTTATGGGCTTGTGCTATGACACTTTACATTCAACCTAATCCAACTGATACAAAGGATAAAACATAACCTCCACAGAGAAGAGTATCTATCCTCTGATCCTTATAGCACACTGATGTTAAAAAACACAGCTTTAATATTCATAAGAGCAGAAAGATATAAGCACTTGCTCTCTTAGAAGAGATTTAGTTGAAAGCTGGAAGGGAGACCAAAATTGTTCTTTTCCTTACAAGGCCTCTTTCAGAATTGTTCTAAGCCACTGGAAAACACAACCGTGTTTTTTTTTTTCTTTTGGCATTTACATGATGGGTCCAAAAAAGCAAGGAAGGAACTAAAGAAAACATCAGTAAGATGCTAGTTACAAATATTTCAAACATGTTTCCTTTAGGAAATCATTTTCTATAGCAATCACTTCTTTTTTTCTTTTGTTTAATACGAATAATTTAATGGAAAATATGAGAAATTGATTTGTTTTCCTATGTTACATAAACTTATCCCCAGAAGCAGTGCTTGGCTAGGAGCAGTTCTTGTACCTTAGATCCACACCTTGACAGTTTTTAAAATTCATATATTGTCTTTCTGATCCCGTTAATACAGATATGCTCTGCTTACCACACTGATGGAAAGACTGGAAACAGTGTCTAAAGTAACAACATAACTTATTACAGACCTCCTGACTCAAAAAAAATGTAGGTAGGATATTAGGTTATCACCATCTAATAAATAACCAGGCTGATAATGTCTGAAACCTAAAAAAAGGTGCAAGACTGGAAGAATAAATACTAGTGGCAAAACCAGACTAGTTTCCACCAGTATCAGCCCTAAGAATCTTCACTGGAACCCATGTAACCAAATGGTCCATTAAAAGGAACTTTTTTTGTGTGCTACCTGACCAAAGGGTTTGCTGAAATGAGTGCCATCAGTCTTTTCTTCTTCACAACCCAAGTTTTTCAAATCGTTAGGTCCTAAAGTGATTTTCTCTGTGCTATCACAATTTTCTTAATTCCCTGAGCAACCTAACACCTTTATTCAAGAAAACTGATTTTAGACATTGGTTGTCCTTGTGCTTCAACCACGTAAGCCTGTTATACCTGCAGCAACCAGGTTAGCTTCTGGATATTGTTTCTTTAAAAACGTGATCAAATCATTCCTTTTTCCCTGCAGTATGCGAAATGCAGTAAGCCAAAACACTGCACTTGAACTTACTTTTGTTATCACTCATGAAACATATAAAAGTGGATGAAAAATTTCTTTGATAGATAAATATGACATTGAATTTTTATTCTATGGCTAGACTAAATTTTTTTTTTTTTTAAATAACATTCAAAAATCAGGGCTGAGTTGGAAATAATTGAATAGAATAAAACTATGTCTTATTTCTTCCAATTCAATGATACACCCACAATGCAGCACAACTGTTCAGCTTAAGATAGATAAAGCTCTCAAAATATATGCACCATCATGCATATAACCCCATTAAAAAAAACGACCAAACAAAAAAAAAAAAAACAAACACACAAAAAACCTTGCCACTGCATCTTAGATATTTCAGTGCTTCTGTAAAGAAAAGAAAAACTGGAACACTATTTGAAGAAGGTTCACAATATATCTGAAAATTACCTTTGGCTTTTCTGACAGGTAAAAGAGCACATTCTTCTGCTATTGGAAGTTTAATGCTGGGTTTAGAATTGATGCATCCACTTAAATATGCTGTAAAAAGAATTACACTGAACTTCACCGCCAGAAGATACCAACCTAAACAAGACAGAGGGAACCCCAGCACGGTGCTAAAGATGCTCTCACAGACACCACAGGAAGAGCTGCTGCCTGGCTAACAACCATCTTTGTGGGTCCTGTAAATGTCCAGTTCAGTTGCAGTCGTTGCTTCCAGTCTTGCGACTCATCTCCTTTCCAAAGACCACCAAAGTCCCCTGCCATTGATTATACCCTGGCCTTCTAAGAGCTACAGTCAAAGGAGTAAGGAACAGCCTCTGGCCAACACACTCG